ACCCAGGTCCGACTTCACTCTGCCTTCCCGAAGGTTCTGGTATAACGCGTCACTCGAAGATACCGATTGATTGTTACAGCCAGTCTTCAAACAATGGCGAACCAAGGGCTCCAAAATGTGACATTCCACACGTTGCAAGCAGCAACCATCGAAGTTTGCGACCACGAGAAAGAAAGTTGACTAAATTCATCCAATGATCTATATTCGCATTGGTAAACTACGGTCGCAGGGGGGTAACATGACCAGGAATAAAAATCAACTGTCATTTGGAACACTAGGTTTCCGGTTAGCAAACGGTGAAAAGTACGAAGCAACCAGCACCGCATTGCACGCACGTCATAAAGTATTGCAGTGTAATAATTCTCCGCTTGGCTCGTGAAAAAATTGCTAGATTTCTCAGCCTGTTATCATGCAGACATAAAGACTGCACATTTAATTTCATTTTGATTTGTTTCCGTATGATTAAACCAATGCTTTTAGTGCCGGCTTTCTTGCATTTCATGACCTTTGAGGAGCTAGTGAAGAGCTCCGTAGGACTTTGTAAAAATGTAGCCTTCGTTGGTTTATGGGCATAGCAACATTTTTTGAGTGTTTTTAGTCTAATGTATAACGTTTTCTAATTACCAGCGACTTACATGGTTTCCACATGCACGCTGTCAACGAAAATCAGTGATATCGAAAGTGCGACCCAGCGAAGATGAATAACCAGACATCCGGTATTTATTCCACTGACGCAGTCTTCACTAAAACTTCACACATTTTAACCAGTAAAACTGCAGTAAACGTTTCGCATCAATTTCCTTCACGCTACTACCGCCTCCATCACCTGACATGCGTGCGATTTCGGCCAGCATCAGGTCATGTGACAATGGCCTGTGTGACCTCACTATACCGGCACACTCCACTCACATACTGCAACAACGAACACCATTAATCCCAAGATAAGTTTTGTACACAATGCAGACGTGTTGAACAGCCATCTTCTTCTCTAGACGTCACCTAGAGTAAATGTCAGTTAGCATGCCGTCTTTGATTGAAGGCTAACGTATTTCATTATGAAATCTCCGGTTCTCACATGCACGCGACGATGCCAGCATTGTCGACATGAATCAGAGATGCCTAAAGAGTCATCCAGAGACGAGGTATGACCGTATAGTCGCACATGAGGCATTCATCGTGTGGGTACAATCTGTATGAGAGAAAACAAGGAGAAATTCTTTTCACTTGTGTTCTGTTCATTGAGCATTGTACATCCACGAAACGATTGGTTATTTTTTCCATGCTGGTTTCTTCTGGGGCAAAAAGCATCCATCCTGATATTAAATTAAACACAGGTACTATGTTGGGTAACTTTTATGGATAATTTAGACACCAGAGCCCCATCCGTCCGGCTAAACACTGGTTACACCAACGTGCAACGTTGAGGAGGGGTCGGTATTATGTGATGGATCTAAAAAAATAAAAATTTGGCATAAAAGGCTTTGTTCCATTCTTTCATAATACTTTCGAAATTACGGTTATATGAAAGATCCATCATTCACCCTATAGTACTGTGAGGCTTACACCTCACAGTTGTGTTTCACCCAGACTCGGTGAATGGGGCACTTTACATACACCTCTAAGTGATTCAACTCAGCAGGCTATGAAGATTGGAATAAATGTACTTACACCATCGCCGTCACCGGATGCGAATTTTTTCTGACACGTCAATTAAGGCACAAACATTTAGCCACACGAAATCTGTGTAAGCTAACTGCCAACTCGGCGAACGGATCAACTGCAACTGAAATCAACAGCCATTGTCAGTCTCAATGTGCACGTGTGCACGCATATATTCAGATGAGTGGTTCTTTTGCGAAACAATTAGAACGATTAGCTCTAGTAAGAAATGGTACTTATGGTGTTCATCTGCCATTCCACATCTTCCACATACTCGAACAGAAGAGGCTAAATCCATATTACCCTACTCATAAGGTTGCTGAAAACTATTCGACAGCCCACCACCGGTGTCACCCTTCTTAGGTCTCATCCAAATCAAATCGATATGCAAATGAATGTATTGTTGTATTGTTCGGCCGCATTTTTATCCGATTGCGTTCGTTAGCCGGCGCGCTAGTGTGTTCACTAAGCCTGGGTTAACCCATTGGTTCTGAGGTTCTAGATAGCAGCAGTTTCTCGGTTTCATTTGTCGGGTTTGGCTGTCTTTACTATTGTGTCCCCACTATCATGAGCCGCATTCGTCACGCTGTTATTAGAAACCTTTGCCTCTACGTCCCAGAGGGGTTCCATTGACGGTCAGCTACGTTGACCTAATTGTTCCAAATTTAATGAACATACTACTTCTAACTTTACCAGCAGTTTACAAGTATTGCGATTTTCAATTTCACACAGGTTGTGGTAATATCATCGACTACAGTCACAAATTGGGGGATTGGGAAGACCTACTTTGTTGCGTTGCCCGGAATCGGGGTTCCCATCTTCAGGATAACTCGGCATGCATTCAATAAATGAGCAGTAGTGCCTGAAGGTTGCCACCTCTTTACCGGCCCATCACAGTAAACCCTGGCCTACTTTGTTCATTTTCAGCAAAAGCTTCGAAAAATTCATTAAAATGCTGATTAGGTTCGATGTCCCCTGGGTGGTTACGGTAATTTGTCCCATGATATGTCCTATTATGTCTTATTACCATACCTTCTCATCACCTCCGAGGAAATTTCCGCTCCGCATTGACTGCCTCACAGAATTCTGTCAAACGTGCCTTGCCAGAAAAATTCAGGAGGATACTATAAGCTAGTGAAAGCAAAAAGCTCCCACCTGTCTAAATCTTTCGTGTTTCGTACAACGTGCAAAATGTAAACATTGGCTGAAAGGTTCTAAAAATCTGACAGTGATAAAATTGTGTTCTTTTAGGTTTCTTTCAAATCTGCGTGGACGTTATGGACTTTGACTTGAAAGGTGTATTAAAAACATGTAATAAAAAACACGTTGTTCAGTATATGTACCCGCTGATTAGATGCTAAAACGCAATAATGAGTTTGAGAATCTGGTAGCTTTAGTCTTTGTTTAGTCACGTGTATTACGACATTCCGTAACATAGACTATCGGGACATGATAAACAAACCCACATAAATCTTCAGAGCGCATCAATTTTGAAAAGGTTCGAAAATTACATAACCCCGAAAAACTTGGCCACTGTCTGTCAATGAGAGTGCACGTGTGTTGGCATTTTACATGCAAGCAAAGTCAGGTTACAGAGGAGTTGCTACAAACACCATGATGACCGTAAAACATGGGCCTTCGGTGAGTTCACACCAGACTGCAGTTGCCGCTTGTGGGGTAAGAATGATAAGTTGCGCAGTCGGAAGATTCTGAGTCCACTCGCTGAGAAAGAAAGTGTCGTGAACTCTTTCGTATTATTCTGACGACAGTGTCTGGAAGGTAAAAACTACTTTGATGTTTTGAAATCAAAGAGGAACTTTACAAGTGCAAGCAGATACCAACATTTGGGACTAGACAACATGGTCTTAGACAGCCGTCACTAGAACAAACCGTTTAGTTTATTTCAGTCAATTACAACTCGCCAGTATTCACTGGCAAGTACAATCCCTGAAAATACAATCTCACATCAGTCCTAGTGGCAATGTCTCACGTGATTTGATGCCAGTAAATGTGTTATGAAACTTATATGTTATCGACTTTTTCACCTTGCTTGCTGTTCATTGTGGTAGATACCGAGCACAAACACTAGATACAGGGAAAATACATGAGGGATATGGTTTCGTTGCAGGCCATAAGGCAGTGAAACGCAGGCCACATCAATCTAGATCCAATTTGTGGAGAGAGAGGCCATACGTTGATTTTAGCCTGCTAGATAACGTGTTCGGGAATTATAAGAGCTGCGTTATTACTACCAAAATTATGTAAGTTCTCGGTATCAGTTGTAAATCGTTCTGTGTTCTGAACAGAATCGGCTCTAAGATCCCCCAGCTGAGTACCGTACAAGACAAGCGATTCAAACGGAATCTGCAAATAGATACTAATATAATCAAGAGCAAGACGATAAAGTGACGAGTAACACTTCTCTTCTTGATAGGAATCGGAAGTTGTGTAGTATTTATCCCCAGAGCAAATCAACATATATGGTTTTACAAGAAGTGATTTTGTTCTCACTACTCTCATTGAAATTCGGAAACTGTTGTACGTTAGACAAAGAAGCTACAGATGTATTATCTTTGCAAACAGGCCTCAAAGTGTGGTGTGTAATCCGACTGCAGAATGGTCTGTTCATGATTCTGAAGGCGATCAGATGATTTGCTCGAACACCTAAAATCGTTCTCTTATGGGATGTGGTCAGCTATAAGCATGGTCTCCCAACAACCTGGAAACAGTCTCTCTTAGGTTTGAAACCTAAGGTCACCCAGCAAATGTGAGCGGAGAAGCAGTCAATACTGGTAGTTTTTTAACGACACCAGACATGTAGGCAAATGCAACAACTATCCTACCCATTCCGTTCGCGATCTTATAAATCCTGCTCAAAGGAACGGTTTGGGCGATGTAGCTCACGACATAGGGAGTGAAACCCCGTACATTCCCAAAGAACAGAAAATACGCCTCATGAGAGAGGCGTATCATAGATGGATTCATCGAACGGTTGACAGCTACATGAAACCAAGGTTTCTGAACGATGAAATCAAGCCGCCCACATCCTAGTTTAAGCTTAGTTGTCGACTTAGACCAAAGCAATATCTGGACAGGTGAACACAATCAACCAGGACGACTAGGCACACGAAAAGCATCGTTGCAGAAAGCATTTTTAATCATGCTCAGTCCTTCTCTCGTCTAATTTAAAGCATTGAAAATAAAGCATCTAAGCAGAACTGTCAACAAGTTCGGGGGTTTTTGAAGAACCCGTGACTGAAATTGTAGACAAAGGAACCGCACCGAAAATTGTCCTGAAATGGTCTGTGAATTTCACTCCTTCAGTGTGAACAGTTCCTCAATTATTTCCTCCAAGGTGTACAACACCATAGTGTTTGTTCCCCAGCGGAATCTTTTGGCATGTGTTGTGTGCAGAACTGCCCGTGACGATTAGCAGGACCAACAAAAAATGGGCTTTTACTGGTCACCGGTACTCCTTCTTCTACATTCCACTTTCGGCTCGCAGTTGGCTTCAGATTGTGTACAATTTCGTAAGAGCGAATAACTTCGGGTGACTTCCTATCGTTTTTTACCACGCGTGACTGTTCGTTATCGACAAATTCCAGTCTGGATATTAATTTGATCGCTCGGCTCTCCTGTCCGGTCGGTAAAACTGATGCCAGTTTGTCAGCTGATTCAAATAAAATGCGGTCTAATGTCCCGTGAAGTGCCTCCTCAATTCTTTGGTCAACCGAATATAGTTCACTGGACTCGGTGTCTTCCAAACCACTTACTTCGGTGAGACAATGGTCTGACGAGAGGTGGGTCCTAGAAATGAGTAGGTTCTTATCAGTCAATGGCGATTTGCTCAAAGAATACTTTCCCTTATTGGGTGACACGGTATATCCACCAATTTCCTGTGTGCTTCGGTCTTTCAGCTTTTCCGTTTCACTTATTTCAGTTTCTTTCTCATTCGCTTTGGTTGGCCTTCTACCACCTGTTTCACGACTTGGCGCAGAACCACTTGGATGTGCAACCATGAGTCGCACCTGTTGGTAAAATGTTGGATTTTCGTTCTTGCGAACGTTTACTTTTTCGCCCGATTTTGAGTGGTATCGCTTGAACATTTTGTCTGGCTTTCTGTGATCAGGACTTAATTTCCGCGTATTTTTTGGGTTGGAAATTTGTACGTGCTCCTCACTTGGATTTGAAACTGAAAAGTAGTTTTCAACCATTTCCATCAGCTCTTGAAATTGTTCTTTATCTAAACCACCGATGCTTTGCGTTTTGTTGTTCGATTTAGGTGTGCTTCCATGGAAGTGCGAATGTGGGTTCGGTGGGGAAATTATAACAGTCGGCTGCATGTGCTTGGGTCCTGTCAGCAAAGAATTCTGATAGGGGCTTGCATTTGTAGTAGTTATTCTATCAGATGACCTTGCGCGGTCTCTTTGGAATGGCCTAGAATGTGATTGGTCACCACCTTGTTCCAAAGTGTACGCCTTTGAACCTTTGCTGTTGTACGGATCGCTACTGACTTGAGTTGCCATGATAGAGAGTGGCTCTCTCTGAAATGATGAGAACAGCTTTCGGACAAAATTTGGTCTCCGTGGAGCAGAATTCCTTGCTTCCGACCTTTCCCGTTCGATAGTTTTCGCAGTGCACGGTCTTCTAGAAGGTACACTTCGGCGGCCGCTTTGGACAAGCACTGATTGCAAGCGGTCTTTGCGTTCATTTGAGTTGTGGCATGTTGGACGTGAAATTTTCTCAAGGAGGGTTTGTTTAGTTGGTGGAGTATAAAACGGACTATCCCGGGATTTACGTGTTTCTTCCTTGCCTCGCGGATCGCCTCCGGTTTGAGCACTGGCATCCGAGTAGAGTTTCTTCATCGGAATTTTTTCTGTGGTAGAAAGTCTTACGTTTGAGTCTTCAACATCTGCGGCATTGTCTTCGTAGTTGACCGGCTGGTGAACCGTTTCTCTGATCATCACCTCAATAGGTTCATGAACACGAGTGGACGTGTAGATGAACTTTGGCTCTGTAGGTCGTTCGGCCACCTTAGGTGTTCCGGATAGGTCAGAGTGGACCTTTTTCAAGGGACTTACAATAACATCGGCCTGGAGTAGCATCTTTCCCTCACAGGTCGACTTGATAATATCAGTCAAACTTTCTGTACTACACACGTGTAGGCTTTCGGATTCCGTGGACCAGGAAGAATAATGTGACTGTCGTTTGTCCAGTGTACTTTCGCTCGTTCTAGTCTGGGTTTTGTATTTTTCCAATGGACTGGGATTTCGGAAAGTCACATCGTCTGCTAATATCAATCCAGACTTATTGCTGTACTCTTCGCTGCCAAGTAACGACGAGTATGTGGATTCACCTGATGGTGCTACAAACATTCGAAGTAGATCACTTGACCGTTCAACACGACTATTCTTCAGATCCGTGTTACCAGATCCATCCAGCCTGTTTGAACCAACCACAACCCAGCTATCACTGAAATGAGCTCTTGTTTCTGGTGGCCGAATCGCCGTTCGCGGCCAATAAGACCATGAATCTGTTCGCTGTACATATTGTGGTATGATAGCAGGATTGAGGCTTGCTTGTAAATCATCATCTGGTGAGGTCAGATATGCGTTGGTAACTATGCTGATCGGTGTTGTACAACTGTCCGTGGCACAGAAACTGCTGCATTGAGTCTGTGTGCTCCTTTCTGCAGAACTCACAACACGACTAGTGTTCCAGGTTTGGAGAGATTTCGGTTTGCTTCGCCTTGTCTGCGAACTCGCTGTCTTGACACGTGTCTGTCTCGCCTGCTTTATCAAGGTGTTCCACACTGAGCCCTCCGAAACACTGGGTGTTACACACCGACTTGTAGTCTTTCTACCATTTTCTAGTTCACGTGCAGTTTGCACACCCAGGCTGCGTGCGCGATAGGTAGGCAGTACTTGCGTTGCTATGCTAGTTGTCTTATCTATGTGCGCTCTTCTCATTTGTGGTTCCTTCACTCGACGTACTTCGGGGCGAAATGCTCGCTCAGTCGGACACTCTGATGGATTGTCCTGCTCTTCTAAACTGACCGTCAACAAATATGGATCTTGTGTGAGCATTTGTGTCCTGTTAATTGTCTCTTCATCCGGGGCATGCTTACCAGCCTCGTGAACCGCATCCAATTGCACAAGATCTGTCCTGGCGGCAACCAACTGTGTGGCTACATCATGACCAGCACGACCACTGGCAAAAGTCCCTTCAACCGAAAGCTCTTTGGAATTTCCACGTTTGACCTCACTTATTCGAATCACCCGCTTGGGTAACATTTCTGGAAGGAGAGCGATAGCCCTTGAATTAGTCTTTTCCGATGACTTTAAGTATGGGGATTTAGGATCCAAGAGATTTTCTTGAATTTGTGTGGAATTCCCGGGAACAAGGGCGTGCTTGAGGTCCATACATCCAGATGATTCTAACTCACGTCCTGATGGGCCACGTACGTTACTTAACTCACCGTCACAACGATCTGGTGAATAATCACCCTCAGTGTTCACTGGCTCATTACGGCTTTCTTTCGATCGTTTCCGTGCTTGGTTGTCGAGAGTCACCATCCGCTGCCGTTTTCCTACTTGAAACGTTTCACTTCGGTTTGTCTGGGGACTTCGTCCATCGGCCAGGCAAGGTTGCTGACTTGAGGTGCATGAACAAGGAAGTGTAGAATTTTCTTCGGGAATGGCACTCACATCCCTAGAAGTTGTTTGACCTCGATCCAGCTGAACAGCCGGCACGGAAAGCGAAAGTGAGGTTCCAGACATTCTGTCATGTTGTTCGGAGCTGCGCGTCACCTGTGACGAATTCCTTGGTAGGGCATTCGGTTCGTTAACTGAGGTGTTCTTGTTTGTATTTTTAAGAGAGGAGTGAACAAACGTGTTATGGCCTGTAGAACCCCATATAAGTGAGTGAATGTTTGGTGATTCCTGACCAGGCGTACTATGTCGGTTAAATTCTTGTTCTTCGGTATTGTTAGTTCCACGGGAATCTGGGCGAACACCATGGTTTAGACAATGATATATCTCAAATATAAGTCCATTAGAATGTTTCTTTTCAGTGCATCTCTTCAGACTCGTCACATCAAAATCATCGTCCTTTGCAGAATTTAGTTCACTGGGATTTTCATCATTTTTATTTAATCTTGGTTTATTCTCCAAAGCTTCCTTATTTATCGACGGCCCAGTTGGGCGCCTAAATGAGGGCTTCCTATCAGTTTTGTATCCTGGGATGATTGGGTGACTTTCGAAGTGTCTACTACAAGCTCTTTCATGACTGGGAACAGTATTGTTCTGGTTTGTTGTAGCTGCGTGCCAAGAGTTGGACGGAAGTATAGTCAACAGTCTATCAGGAACAGTTATCTTGACCAACCGGTTACATTGGGTCAAAGGCAATGTGTCGGTGGCAGATATGCGTAAAACTGGTCCTATAGTGTGACGAAATTTGCCAGCAGGTAACTCACACTGTGATAATGCTGCGCGAAGGCTGGCTGTGTGTGTTACTTGAAAGATCACATATTGATGTCTGCGGAGAACATAATCTACCCGGAAGTGACTAGAGTCCGAGCTCTGTTGCAGCATTGTATGCAACAGTTCCAATGAAAAACGATTAATGTATGTGCGTCATCGTATGAATACGCTGGTCTAAACATCGGTAACATCGCACTTATTGTCCATACATCTGTATAAGACTCAGCTCAACTCCGGATGGTTGCTCGCCCAAACACCTTAGCGTACATCTGTCTTACCCTTCAGCGGCTTACTGAATGCCACTGGTTTAAAGTTCTCTGGGATGCAAAAATCAATAGCTTCACGTGATTGGCGTGACCTGCGGAACGGTTGCCAAAATCTGATCAGTATGACACTCCTTTGAATACAAGTATCTCGAAAAGCGAAGTTCGTCTCAAGGCGGACATTTTTGTCTGAATATATGTGCGATCATTTTGAAATATGGACTGAAGTTTATGAGGACAGGAGTTCGCTGAACTTACGGGATTCGATAGACTTTGGCGATCATGCTATGTGTAAAAAGTGCGTTGCAAAACTGACAGTAGCTGTTTAGGCGTAGCCCAGTCTTTTTCGAAACAACGTCTGATTTTGTTGTCATATTCACGACCTGTTACAAGAGAACGAAAACAAAGTTCCACAGGTCGTTTCTTTTTGACTTACATAGTTTTCCCCGAAGTTGTCATATCGTTTTCTACACCTTTCTTCATGAGTATGCGGTGGGCATTTGCTTCGGGCTGTAGTAATATCAGATAAAACGAACTTCCAGTAGAAAGACCGGATGACGAAAAAAACTTCGAGTTAGATAGGCAACAAGGATGGGCATGCAAATGACACAAATGAGAGGGGAGCATAAATAGGAAAGAACAAATCGCGGATAGTAGGATTCGAGATAAACGGATTCGCAGCTCAAAGCATAATTCATCCCGACCCGTCGATAGTCTCACCTCACGAAACATTCATCCCGCAAAATCACACACAAAAAACGTCTTCTGTTCCGAGAAATCGATGACATTTTCTCTCTAGCGGAATGACAAACGGTGAAATTTTAAGTGTCATTGGTCCAAATCAACGGGCACGCTAATACGCACTAACCAGTAAAGCTGATGAATTCTTCTTGCCTTGAGTAGGCTTCGTATGTTAAGTTATTTATCCCAGGGAACACACCCCTAACTAGTCATGTGATCAAGTCACGGTTTTATCATGTAGTGAAAGCAATAAGGACAGGTTGTGAGGAATAATTTGCTATTTAACGCAGAAGTTGCGGGGAACTGTGGCAGTCATCTAATAACAGTACTCTCAGAAGTTTTTCCACGATACAGAAGCGCGACAAGGTGAACTTTTCGCCAGATTCGAAAGATTACCTTGGCTTAACCATCTTCCGTCAGTGTGGCCTCCGTTGTTTTCAAAGAGTTAGACTTTAGCAGTGATCCGCCGGGCTGTGTGGTTTTCTGTGTGTCTCGAAAATCCAAGAGTCAGTCTTGTTCATCTGTCTATTAATCCTGTTCGGAATATCTGTCTGCTCTGGGATTTCATTAGAATTTTTCCCATTTTCGATTCGTTTGACCGGCTTCCAACTGACCAAGATTCCATGCCGTCCTGTCCATTTTGCCTTGAATTCTGGCCACATAAGGCTTTGGTATCTGCGCGACGAACGTTTCTCTTCCCCTGAGTAAACTAGATGGTTTTACAAACTAGCTACCTATATAAATACCATGATTTGGAGGTAAATGATTACAGAATAGTTGAGATCCCAGCGAAACGATAGCTGTTGCGTCGGTAAACGAGTAGGTTTTTCTCCAGCAGATATGAGGTTGCTGTCATTTCCACTTGTACACTACCCTCCTTCGTCTCCGATCCTGTTCATTGTAGTACGGTTTTGTGCTTTGGACGAAACATTCCCAGCATCTACCGGGAAGTGTCCGCATGATGGCTATGGAGTGGCTACACACGGTCAAGCCTGCTTTTTTTACGGGTCTTGTGTCACTTGTGGAAGCTGTTCAGCTATAAAACTGGGTAGTGGTTTCGTCGGCCATTTAAGAACAGTTCACCTGTCCTGCACCTCAGGTTAGAAACCACTAACGCCGAAATAATACGTCGCCCCAATAACCGGACCGAAATCGGTTTTATCCTGTAGGTCTGGTTTTGGAGAACTGATGCTCATGTCACTCACGTTGGTCTGTTCACATTTGATAAATCAGCTGCGTCAAGCGTTGCTGACGGAGTAGTGGTAACTCGCTCGCCTCTCATGTGAGTTCGAACTCCGGTAGGATATGCACCGCTGATGAGCTTAAATATGAGCAAAGCTCGAGTTCAGTGCTTCTTTCTTCTGGCTTGAACGCATCGGAACAATTGCGCCAGGGTGGGATTCAAACAGTTGTCATACGGATTTGAATTCACAAACAGTGACTGCAGAGACTGCAGAGACTTTGTTTATATGCTGATGAGTCTTCATCTGACTCACGAAATGCTCACTCATTTATGTCCAACCATGAACCAGTCTTTCAAATGCTTACCGTCTCACCTCAGCATGGGTTTTATTTCTGTGTCCATAGTTCGTCCCGAAGGTTAGTAAACACCTAGCAACCAGCATGTGTTTGTCATGACCACCGACTGACTTGCAGAGTCACTCACCAACGATGGCTCCACTGAGTAGAACTGCCATGTTCCCATTACCAGCCAGGTTCGATTGAACCCACTTTTGACTATCCAATAAAACAAGCAACGGAACATACCTCTGTCCACATGAATTGCTGCCCAATAAAACAAGCAACGGAACGACTACTTTCAGGAACATACCTCTGTCCACATGAATTGCTGTCCAAGAAACAGAATATTCAAGCGAACGGAGTGGGTAAAATTGTCAGTTGATTTACAACGCGTGCATTTTGTCTCGAGGCTCATAAAGTTTGATTTGAATTGTACACAAATTCGAATAATCCACGACTGCTGTGAAATCGGAAAACAGCTCTAAGAGATGGATGACAAAGAAGTCAGTCTGCAGCAAGTGAACACAGACCACAGTACTGCATTTCAGAAATGGGCTCTTCTGCGTCAGGGCTCATCAACTTTTCACATTCTACCAGCCCCTTCTTTTATTCACTATCATTCTCCTCTTTAGAAGTCGCACCATATCGGGGCTTGCGTAAGGGTGCCTTGAAGTGAGCTTTTCACTACACATGTTATAAAACTATGCTGAACGAGGTGGGGTGGGCACCTGGGTGACCAGTGACACTCCCTTTGTTGTCAGATCAACCAACCTAACTGGTCCTTGCAGTGATTCATGAGTCTCGCCAATCGGTGCACAATGCGTGATGAGGACATCACGCCCCCGGGCAAATGGCACACTTTTTCCAATGTTTCGCCCCACACGAATTCAAACGGCTTCATTGTATTTTCGGTGAGTTTTGGAGATCGCGGTTGTTTAAGTCATTTACTGATAACACACCATTTCTGGTCACTATTCTCACGCTTTCCTTCACAGTTTTGTGGAGTTTTATGTCCGTTTACAACCATATATTATCTGACATTGGATTGGAATTGCAGACTGCCACTACAAGGTCTGTTCAGCACATTTTGAGACCTACCATTTAAATGATAGCTGAACAAAAAACAAAAAAACATTCTGCAGATGCCCAGCCAAGTTTCGTGTGTGTTTTATGGTATCATATCTACACTGGTTCATGAATGGCATTGTTCTAGGGTCACAATGATTCTGGAGTCACACACACACACACACACTTCCTTTTAGTGGGTAGAAGATGCGTTTACGGGCCCAGGCTTACCATTTGAAACGCGCAGAGACGCTGCACATCCTCCTTGTTTGTACTGACCTCTCTACAATGTATGACACATAATGGAAGATACCGTAAGCAGTGGAGATCCGACGAGCGAGTAGCCGATACTGTTAAAAAGACTTTCACATGATGGCACGTAGTCAGACCTGTTTAGAAATAGGCTTTGAGGTGGACAGTCTGTCAAGTAGTCAGTTCGACTTGCCTTGAAACACATTGTGGTCTTGCCACAATATCGGTTTGTTCACCGGTTTGTACCGTTTACTCCTGTTTAGGTCAACCACGCTGTCTACAGTGCATCTGCTTTCTACATAATCTCATCAAGATTGGCTGAGCTCACTTTCATGCCCAGAATCCCCCCAAAGGAGCTGTGTTGTTTCTGGCATACAGCAATCTTAAAACGAGCCAATTCACTTTCACGTTTTGGTTTTGTATTCAACCTATTAAAAAGCATGATTCTCTAAAATGAATTGAGCTTTACATTATTGAAAAGTTTCGATCGGGTTGGTCTACCTCCTTTTTAACCGCCATATCCATAGCACTATATGAGAGCGAAAATAGTGGAGTTGGATCAATTTACGACAGTGGACAATTCATGTAGTCCTTTACTGTCCATGGCGTAGCGCTGCACACTTAACACTGAAAGGATGGGGCTCTTTGCTATTCTGTTATTCGCCCACCATCTAGTGCTCACAGTTGGTTGCCTCGCCAGAACAGCTTGTGTTGGTAAACAGGACTCTAGAAAACCAAACACGTAAGGAACTGCATTGATATTATGTTTAATGGTGTCAAAATTACATGAAGTAGTGGTTGATTGCCAATTTTTTGTTCTTTACGAGGAGAACAAGTGATATGTCAATGGTTTAGCTTAGCCTTGAGAACAGGCTATCGATCCAGCTGGCTCATTACATTTACGCTGCTCAGTGAAAGTTACTGCAGACCAAGCAAATATTTGGTGTGAATTTGACTACTGACACAAGCCATATTGTGTTTACTCAGGCGAGGGCGATCAGGTTGAAACAATGAGGTTTTGAAGGAATCAATTCGTGTGAAGCACTGTTTGCATAAACCGAATTTCGATCAAGCGTTTTCCAAGATATTCTCTCGAACGTGGATTTAAAAACGAAAAATAAACCGAAAGCCAACCAGTCTCTTGTATAGAAATTCTTCCCTAAAATGTTTTTACTACAAGAACCCCCGTGTATTCCAACAAATGCCATCGAGAATGCAGTTTGGACTCAGCTCATGTCAATCATCCGTCAGATGAAATCAAGAGTTGTCTGCCAGCGTATAACTTTTAAGGACGAACAGTATCGACACGGTTGGTTTTCGTCCCAGTGACTGAGCCCAGAGTTTCTGAGGTACACTCATTTGCGAACTAATGTGTTTTTTTTCACGGAATCCAAGCTTAACTACTTGTTTGTGGCGTTCTTCAACTAAATCTGCTGCTCAGAGCCACCTCTTGTTTTAGTTAGGACTATATTCAAGATATTAGAGCAAAATGTCTAGGCGGAACACATTACTCACAAGTGAAATGGTTTCAGCAATCTTTTGAGTGGCGTGTTTCGCCCGTTCCCAGAATAGTCACAGGTGATCACCTTCATAAAAGAATGAATGGAAAATATCATTTACCATTCCAGAAAGAATAATAACTGTCTTTAAAGCACTTGTCACTGGGAACATCCATGAAAGCAGTGATCAGTGGCATCTGCTGAAAGTGTTTCTCGACTTGTACTGTATCGTTTGTCAATAGCTTGTGACCCATAAAGTGGTTAAGATTGTAAGTAGTCACACTTCCCTACGCTACATTTGGTGAAACATTTTGCTGACCAGTCGATACGGAAAATCTCCGTAACCCAAATGGTATAGTCAGATGTGAGACCCTTTAACTAAGAATAACTATGGATTCCATTCTCCCCTTATATGCTTCTGGTAATTGGGGCTAAACCCCAATTTTATACGGAGCGGTAACTCACTTTCCTGCACCGTCTCAGCGATAACCTATTCTACCTTCGTGATGTGTTACGGCTTATTCAGCTAGAGAATCGGTAAGATATAATGAATATCCATGTGTATTACGTCAACAGATGGCACATGGGGTTAGTAACTGCGTTCGGTATCTCGAAAGATGTCCTGGCTTCCTAGAAGGATGGTCGGATTAACCCGCAGTTTTCGGTTTGGATTCGCTACACCGATGACTCGATCAAGATTTGCATGAAATGGTCACATTTGCTAATGCGATGAAACGAGTGAGTAACCAGCCTTTGAAAAAACGTTGAGGCTATTGTGGAGCGCAGGGCTTTCGGCTCTGATTGCAACTCTTCCTTCAACCTTGCTACTGGAAATATTGCCAGTAGTATATCTTAAACCAAAAATCGACCAGAACGAGAGCTGCTAAGATCTGCAGCAATGGGATACGGAAGCAAGCAGCAAACCGGGATTCTCTAGCGCCTGGAAAAGCGCATGGGAGTCATTCTCATGGGACAAAAGTGAATGAATGAACGTCTACAAAGGATTTCGTTGGTTTCGTTTGCCGCGCTTTCGAATGAAAGGGCCTCAGACGTACGTAGGTTTCGTGTACGTGGGAACAAACTATTACTGCGCTATGTCGTGCTGCTTACCCACGCGAATATCTGCAAATCCAAACACTCCAAACTAGAGGACCGTTTTCATGACGTATTAACCGCTGACAAATGAGTATGCAAAGTCCATTCAGGTCAGCACTAGTTGGTATAAAAACGGAGAGTGAAAATCTCTCCTGAAAACCGGGTCGCTATAGAAGTTAAGCTAAAAACCAGTGTATTGTTCAGCAAACGTCTTGCTACAGTTTGAACGATAATTACTGCTAATTTGGTTTTGTGAAAGACTCAGCTTAAACCCAGCTGAATCCCTCTTTTGTGATGTTTCCAGGAAACTGAATGTGCTGCACCAGGCCGCCTCATGTTTCAGTCGCTACGATATTGTAGATTTCGAGATACATATATAGTCGACTGAAACATGAGGTGGCCTGGTGCAGCACATTCAGTTGCCTGAGAACATCATAAACGAGAGATTCAGCCAGGTTCAAGGTGAGTCTCGTGCAAAACCAAAGTTGTTTGCAAATGAGTGTATATTCGCTAATTTCGTTCACTTTGGTTTCAAGTAGAACATAAGGTTGACGGAAACTCGGGGACTGTGCCTGCCTAATGAGCCCCAAGAAGGGTGAAACCGGTCGTGGGCTGTCGACGAATTTTCAGCAACCTTGTGAGCAGTGCATTACGGATAATCATTGCTGTTTTCAGTAATCCTCATTTCCTGGTGCGATTATCCCGGTTAGTCCACATCACAGGATGGGAGTGACAGGTTCGATATTCAGTCCCAGTAGGGCTTAGTAGCATCTCATGGTCTTGGATACTCCAGGATTTAGAATGCTGGATGTCTTACATTTGGAAGAAATATTTTACCATTACTTAAACAAAAAAGCTTTGAACTTACCCGAATTGCCTGTCTCTCAATAAGTCGGTCCAAAATGATCACGCTCACTCGTTAACAATGCAGTCAGTGACCACTAGATACCCAGTACTGGGTCAATGTGGATCTTGTTATGATTAGGGAGCTGATTAGGTTTACACGGTTGGAGTCATGCTGATCTTTACCACAGACGATAGAACACTTATTGACTAAATCAGTAAGTAGGATTGTTCTAATTCACCATGAGCGTATTAGCTGACATGTTTGAGGATCGTGTTTCCATTATTGAGGCTAAAAGGGATAAGGCTGCACATATCCAGGAGAACCCTCTTCCTCCCACACCCTGTAAAGTAAGAATTAACCGAACTTTGAAAAAGCGCAACAAGCTCGCGTCCAACTAAAAGTTTAGTCAGCCGATATCCTCAAAAGCTTAACGAGCCTCCAACGAATATGATCCATTGGCTTTGCCTACTACATTTGACTTTTAAGGTTATTCCAAAATCAGGATGGTAGAGTCATTGGCCGGTCACTATGTACAACTTCACCCGCCAAACCTAAAGCGGTTTGTGCAACTGATTCTGCTGCAGAGGTTGCAGACATCCAAGTGAGAATGACGGTTCAACGTTATCCTTCGGAGAAATCCACCGACATTTCACATCGCGATCTTCGCTTCTGCTTGCTGGCATTTTCCTACACCTTGTTGGTTGTTCTTAGTTTAGAAAGGGACGTTAGGCAAGCTTAGAGTCGCTAATGTCTGAGTCTCTGTCTAAATGTGACGCTGAACTGAATTTGACCGTGTTCCGAATTCCCTCTGAAATTATAGTCACGTGGGCTGCTATATGGCACGCGCAACCGATCGATACACGTTGGTTGACCCTTCAAACGCAATGACGTATGTGTAGGACATAACAAGAGGTGTCGACCAATGAAGTAAGCTTGTGTTATTCCGATTCACAGACCTATTGAAACAGTTGAATAGAAAGCTGTATTACTGAAATCCTAGCCAGTGTTATGCTAGCCCACGTGACTTGGGAAAACACAATACCTAAGAAAATTGTGGAATGACTTGTCGTCACATTGTCGGAAGTTCACCATGTACTGGTCACAATCTGTTGACAGACAATCATGCTCAAATTGTGATTGACCCAGATGACATGGGACACGTCAGCAAACATTCAAAGTCAAATTTCGAACAAAGAAAAGGTACTCTGAATGAGAATACGGACGTCATAATGTTGCGTCGCATTATAGAATATTCCTTTGTACTTCCCATTGCCCCAAATGCTGTCCACAAATGGAATACAAAGCTTGAAACGGACACCTGGCTCCAACAGGTAAAGTACGAGATCCCTGACGAGGCAATAGCTTCCAATGCGGAAGGTCCAAAAGTTCAATATGAAGCCGAAATTAATTGTACTCACAGAGTGTCAAGTCAAACAGTACATCTGAAGCTTTTGAATCAACATACCTGTCTCCTTCTGACAGTTAACTTAACTCAAAGGGATATATTCTTATGGAGAAGTAACATCCAAGAAAATAAGAAAGGCACGTTGAGTAAAATGTTTCCTGAACGACCTGGATCACTTAAGGAGAGTAACAAATTCTGTGTAATCATTCGTTCAAATGTTTACGGAGCTTCAGAATTAGTATCTCATAATGGGTTTGAAGAAGATCAGGAAGAAACAGGCCTTCCGATGCTGATGCAGAGTTTACATTTACCTGAAGCTCCCGGTAAACGTGACGTCCCATCAATGATATACCCTGAGCTATCCTACAGAAATCAGAGTAACTCAGTTTCGGAGCACACAACCGATAAAAGTCAGACTAAAGTTTCCGGGCCAGTCGACGCTGAAAGAGCTATCAATATGCTTAAAAAGGTTCATGATCAGTCTTACTCAATCCCATCTTTGTCCCGATCATTGATGAAATCAAGTCATCGATCAGAATTGAATGAGAAACCAAGGTCATCTGTATATGAGAAAAAGCTAATAAACCATAGTGTTCACAAAAGCACACAGAACGGGAGCTCACAAGACCAGCGCGTACCATCTCGACCTAAAAATGGTCGGCTGACTGGGAAACGGGTTGAACAGGTTCCCGTCAACCCATCGTCTCTGCCAAAGTCCACTAGAGTGAGATCAACGCATTCGGCAAAACATGCTTCACTGTCTACAGCACACACGGCATTGCGTTCATCATTGGCTTTCTCGATCGACGACCGTCCGAAAATCCCAAAAAGCAAACGTAAAACATCGTCCGAAATCTCGTCAGCAAGTAAACTACACGAACGGAATTCCGATGACTCTGCTCACAGAAAAGAAACACCTGCGAAGGTCAATTACACAGGAAAAGGTTCAGGACAACATCTGGCAATGCCAAAACTTTCCGGTAAGGTTCTCGACATCTTTGTGAATGAAGAATCTTCTAGAATGAGTCCAGCTATGGGACCCTCGAGGAGGGACCAGTCACACTCAAGAAAGCAAAATGAGAAATCCAAATTTCGGAGCCTTCTGAACCTCTATAAGATTCGATCTGAAGCTGATGTATCTAAATGCAAAGGGAGCATTTCTAAGGCACAATGGGTTGAATATAACATGGCATGTACACCAAAAAGTCAAGTCATCGCGAGACGAGACAACAGACTGCGGCACGTGAACAAAATCCACGTGCGTTCTCAATCCTGTCAGTTTGATCGGTCTAGTGAACTGATCAGGCATGCGGTCCATGACCGTTATGACATACATATTAACCTTCCATCTACCTCTGTATGTCACTTGGAATTCGCAAGTCTCCAAGAGGGTATATTTCTTGTACTTGGATGCGTATCCATAAGAAAAACAAAAGAACACTTCAGAGAGTCAGCACAGGAAGTACACGTCTTTCAAGACGTTAAACAAGAAGACTTTCAATCAAAAGACAGAGACCCTGATCAGCCGTTGTTGGAAGGCCAGCATCACGCATCTAGCAAGCAAAGGGAAGAACCGAGTGTTTTGGCAGCTTCTACAGCTGGCGGATTTAGAGAAATTTGCGTTCCGGGTGATAGAATACTGCATGAACATGCTGTCTCATTATCAAAAGAAAACGCCTTTCACAAAACGCATTTGAACATACCTCATAAGCAACGAAAGAATTTTGTATTCGAGGAAGTAGGAACGTCACGCACTGACGACACAAACAGAACTCAAAGTTCAGGTATAGCAGAAAGGATAATAAGTAGTAGAACAATTCACAGAAACAAGCATTTCGGCTCGAGAACAACAGATTTGGCACTGCAGCTATCGCTGCATAACAGTCAACCAAGCTCCAGATTACGGCATGATAATACCACCAAGTTATCCGCGGCCAAACTGAAACGCGATATGACAACACATGGACAAAGTAGGTCTACTTGGAATGAACGTCGAAAAGCTCTGAAATCTCCAGGCGCATATTCTACCAGACAGTCAGAAATCAAACCCAGAGTAAACCAAGTTCAGAAGGCCTCACAAGCCCACCTAAAGAGAATAAGGGAAGCCAAACCAACGACTTCAAGGAGACCTACTGAACACTTCCGGCGTCACCCAAGTTTGCACCAGATGAAGGTGTCTTCAACCCACCATCAACCAATATTGCAAAGAGTCACACAGTATATGGAGTCGGAAACTGCATTGGCCCATCCACGACAGAGCATCTCGGAGAAACCTGCCTTCGCGAAACCACAGGATGAATTGATACAATCTAATCTAGAACCCGTAAAACAATCAAACCCTAACTTACTTTATGCAAATCGCAATATTTTTGCGGATTCGGACATGCCAACTTCCATTTCTATACCTCTAAGAAAGTCGAGATCGCAAATATTAAGAAGACGTAGTCAAGTAACTACCCAGGAACTTAACAGGTCAGTTCCGCCATACGAAATACGAGCTAACCCTGACACTTCTGTTGATCAGACTGTCATCGCTGAACGACAATGGGGTACGAATACAAACGTAAGGAGTCAACAAGATATTCCAAAACATACTGAGAGCGTACTTTCTATAGACGATGTTTTTCGCCTTCAGTCGGCTATGCATAGCGGAAAAACAGTCTATCCGGTTGTGGGCAATCAAGAAACGCGACCGTGGAGATCAAACTCGGATGGACAATTATTACCCACGCGTTCTGAATATAAGCTGTTTAACCGTACATTTGATTCGAAAACTACTCCAATACAAAGCGGACGCTATTCTGAAAGTTCAACGCCGGAAGCCCCTGGAAACCCGAGTGGTCAACAAAGGATACGACACCCGTCTAACAGGGAAAAGGAAGTTGCTTCTTTACCAATGGCTCCTGGAGTATGCGAAACAGATCAGGTTCATAGGCCACTCGTCGAAATCTCATGTAACTCTGATGTGTTTCCGCCCCAGATCGATGACTTGCTAGAGACAAATTTCAGACAGGATGATAAGCAATACCGAGATTTAGAGAAGACTGAACATATAAACCAAATAAGCCAAATAAGAGATTCCGATTCAACCTTATCAAGTATTAGAGCGCATAAGCTAGTAGATCCAGCGTCGCCGTCATCTCATCAGAAACAACCTGAACTCACTGATGAGCTGTCTGTAGTCGAATACAGTTTTCCACAGTGCCTGGACTTTAATAATCAGCAAAACGAGAAGCCACTGAATTATCAGTCATCAAGTGAACCCGAGATGGGTGAATCCGTCATGAAATATGTTGATCGACCAGCTAGCATAACATCTTTCAACCCTAAAGTGAGTAGAAGCAGCAGGGTATCGCACCTATCGTCGATTAGCACTAGAGACACAAATGAAGACAGGCCCAACAGCTTGGTGAGGAGTTTTCGCAGAACTTCAGACCGCTCGACTTCCACTACGTCCGGGCAATCTCTAATTGGCGACCGCTTAAGATTTGAGAAATATTCACTGGACAGACCATTCTGGGAGAATAGAAGGGATTCTAAAGAAACTGTTTTCAGTTCGGGAAAACGTCGAGAGCTTATCCAGCTAGAGCGGACATCTTTACACCACTGGACACCAAGCAAGCCCAGCGTAATTCACAAGCGCCAGGCAGAATCAGCTTCTGGAAGTTCGGTAAGAGGTGTTGGACAGTCCAGTGAAAAAGAACCACGTGTATCGAGATTGGAACGACTTGACCAGTCGATTAATCAACAACTGGCTAAGTCGCCCACGCTACATGATGGACAAGTTGAATCTGCAGACTCTAGAGATCGGAATACACAACTAGAAGTCCAACCGTACTTGGCACAGCCAAGTGAGACGACGCATTTTCGTGAAATGACCTCTATGTCCACACCACAGCCCGCTACCAGTAACCGTGTTTCTAAAACGCTGCTTGCGAGTGTGGCCTCAACTTCGAGGACTCACAACATACTGGATTTGCAAACGGAGAACAAGAGTGAAAAAATTTCCGAGAGGGACAAGAACTTCGGGCAGCAAGGGAAGCCAAAAGAGCACGCATCAACATCCAGTTACTCGAAGGGTAACAAAGTGGGCAGCGTTGACAGTTCCATCGACACTACTCACGGGGTGAGAGACAGAATAACCAAGAAGAGGTATACTCCAATGAGTAAAGACAATCAACAGAGAGTCTTTGAAATTTATGGGGTGCCACACATTGTACAGAAACGAGTGAACCGCGAACCGAAGCGAATAACTTCGGGTGAAGTATATCTGTTCAGACGGAAGCTCCCTGGTGGTAGTCGGTGGGCAAGCGAACGTGAAAGGAAAGATCAGTGGCTGGCGAATTTTGGATTTCGTTACCGAACTCCGCCTAAATCAGACGCTAGAAAAAGATATCATTATTCGTCGCCAGAGCAGTATTCTACTCCTTCACAACATAGTTTGCGTAGCAATTTGTCTTCTACGATATCAAGCAGAACAAGTGGCGAAAACACGTTCAAACTTGGGAAAGCAGACAGTGTTCACGCACTCAGTCCTACGTTCAGCACATACAGTCATTTTCCGCTAGATAGAGTTAAAGCTTATTATCGAGAAAAAGCGGGCACTAGCCCTGGATTACACAGGAAAATAAGGGAAGAAACTAAAAACAGAGGACGACTAACCTACAGGATAGGACATGTGTTACATAATCTCAGACTAATGCAACAAGGGAAAAAGAGAGCGCAGGTGGCTGGAACAGGCCGTTCAACGGAAAGTCCCAGAGTGAACCAGCGCGTTGGATTCAGAGATGGAGGCCGGTTCTCGCTCAGAAAGACAGTTTCCGACCTCGAACATTACGAAGAATATGTAAAATCGGATCCCATTTCAAAAGAACAGTATCCTTCAATCGCGAAACGATCATTTAGTTTTGTTCAACCCATTTTATCTGTTCATCAATCCTCGACCAGTTTACCCAAAACAATAGCGAAAACCAGACGTCTTACTGAAGAAGGGGGAAGTTCGGGCGCACATGTTCACAAAACATCTGAGGACAGAATTGGCTTTGATGCTTCCAAAGACAGGGATAACACTAATAAACCTTTAAAAGAAAGTAACAGCATGACAGGTGAGCAAGACTGTAAACAGATGTCCCATGAAATAGATGAACATTTCCATGGTCCACTAAATCGACGAAGCCATCAGTTAAGAGGTCCAATGATGGTAAACGCACAACAGATTGGAAAAGAACAACTGACAGATCACCCACGAAGTGGCAAGCATCAAGAAGACATCGTAATGGACCACTACGTTTCTGATTTGACACTTAAAGATTTGGTACTGTTTTCTGAACAAGACTCACTCACCTCAGGCCTAAAGAAACAAGACTATTCTCCTACTGAACGGATTTCCGTTACATCACCAGCACGTTCTATTACTGAATTGTCGTACGGTTCTCTGAATCTGCCACCTGAATACACGTCAGAGCACCATGTTGCCGCAGCAATAGGGCAGAAAAGTAGTGAGTACAACACAACTAAAAATCTTTCGATTTCCATACAAAGAGAAGGAACGGGCTACCAGAGAGAAAGCAGTGAGAATCGTGAAATAACCGCGGAAATATCCCACGAGAATGCCACAGTAAAAGCTGTGAGCACCAAAGATATGTTAGAATATCCCAAACAAGAACCAGGGAAAGATTATGCAAAGCGACGAATTCCGAGCGACCAATTAGAAGGCGAGACGGGAGGCATAAACAGGACACCAAGCAGACAGAGAGGAAGAGAAAAAACCAGTACCGGAGAGCTCGAAAAGTACAAGGACCAACCAGAAGAGAAATCAAGTGTGGTAGATAAGGACAAACCAACTGCATCCGCACAGCGCATGACATCCGAAACACCGCTGCCAGATCGGGTTACTGGACAACCCACGTCTAGTGATTTATCAAGCAGGTCGGAGCATCCTGACAACCGACTAGACGATGGGGCTATTGCTCCTGGACAGAGAAGCGACGCTAAAGCGCGCGAAATATTCATGTATTATCCTGAAGAGCAGTCTCGGCCTCTTGCAAATAGCATTGCACATCGATTGGATGAGAATCCCGCACAAGCCTTATCACGTCTTGAAACAGCCACCATAATCGCACCAAGTGCTGGAGAACAGGGTGTGATGGGAACACTTGAAGATGAGATGGGAGCTCCAATTTCCCCATATGACATTGGGGAGCCTGACGCTCATCCATCCAGACCTATGGTAATGGGGTCATTTGAAGGGGAGAGAGCTGTCTCGGATTCATTCAAATCCACGGTCCCAGAAGACAAGCATCCTCGTTTGGCAGACCGTGTCAAACCAACTGCATCCGCACAACGCTTGACATCCGAAACACCGCTGCCAGATCGGGTTACTGGACAACCCACGTCTAGTGATTTACCAAGCAGGTCGGAGCATCCTGACAACCGACTAGACGATGGGGCTATTGCTCCTGGACAGAGAAGCGACGCTAAAGCGCGCGAAATATTCATGTATTATCCTGAAGAGCAGTCTCGGCCTCTTGCAAATAGCATTGCACATCGATTGGATGAGAATCCCGCACAAGCCTTATCACGTCTTGAAACAGCCACCATAATCGCACCAAGTGCTGGAGAACAGGGTGTGATGGGAACACTTGAAGATGAGATGGGAGCTCCAATTTCCCCATATGACATTGGGGAGCCTGACGCTCATCCATCCAGACCTATGGTAATGGGGTCATTTGAAGGGGAGAGAGCTGTCTCGGATTCATTCAAATCCACGGTCCCAGAAGACAAGCATCCTCGTTTGGCAGACCGTGTCAAACCAACTGCATCCGCACAGCGCATGACATCCGAAACACCGCTGCCAGATCGGGTTACTGGACAACCCACGTCTAGTGATGCCCAAAGCACTTCTCCGCACCATGGAAACTCAGTCGACCGTGTCTCTGCGGTCTTCTCTGCTTCTTGGAATATCGGAAAATATGCTGCCTATGGGATCAGAGTTACGAGGCGTTGCTTGGATGATATATGTGTTCCAGTAGTCGTTGATCCCCAGGGTGTTAGCCTCTGTGTATTCAAACTAATGAATTTACCGGATGCAGCGGACGTTTTGGAGGAATATGAACCCACATTATTTGACGAAAATAGCCCCCTGGTTATTACAGACAGTGGTATATCTGAATCCATCGCTGTTTCAAATGGATTTGTTCTGTTGTGTCAGGACGTGAATAGTGTAGTTTTGAGCGAGATTAATGAACCGATTCTTGGGTATATATTTGTGCCTTCACAAAGTCACATGTTTGACGAAGAGGAATCTAAATCCGGAGTTGACAGGATAACTTCAAAGGACATTCTTTTCACTCCTCGTGTTTCTGTTGATCCACAAGTAATCGATTCTCATTCTTGTGTCCCAGACCTACAGGGACGATTTACTGATTTCGAAAAGTCTGTTCCATCATTTCCAAAGCATCAACTAGATTCCGCGAAGTTTAATCAGGGTCCACTCTGTCAATCGGCTCTACAGGATGACAAGAATGTAGCCTTGTTTCCGCAGCAATCCCTACTACCAGAGGCGAGATTTCGCACAGAAAAATTTCCAAGTGAACCACTATCCTTAGACAATTTGCTGCACGACCGTACTCGTGACACATTATATTTGCCCACATCTGAATATAATTTATTAATTGAACAAATGCCAAATGAATCAAGTGGTCTCGAAAAAGATTCAAAAGCAGATCACCACGGTCTTCAAGACTCTTCATTTGTCTCAGCGGATGCAGCTACTTTTTACGCTGACGTGAAGGCGAATCACGGAACGGATGTACTCCATGGATTGAGTGTGGACGCACAAGTACAATCTGTATCATTGCCGTTGCCAAACGAACACCATTTCATTCGGACAGAACAGACGAATTTATCACCTAGTGAACTGGATGGGTTCAAAGTGCCTCCCCAAAAGCCCAACGGAGTAGAAACACTGAGAACTGGTAAAATTCTGGGAGAGAAACGTGCGGTGGACCAGATTGAAATGTCAAACCAAGCAAAATCACAGACTGACTCATCTTGTCAGGCTGCTCCACCTACAGCTGACCAATTAGCATACCCCGCCTCAAATATTTTTACTTCGTCCACCGGCATAGTGTCTTCTTCGATGCATTCCGTGTCACCAGATCACACCACAAACTCTCCACAAGCGCTACCATCTATAAACAACCCATCTTCTCAGTTGACCGATGTTTATTTGGCTTTTCTTTGCCTACCTACTGCGTGCGCTTTAATTTTTGAACAGTTCATGGGGGAATCGGCCTACAACACCATACAGTTTGAACCCATTCTACTGACTCCGCTCTTCAATGTTCCTACACTATCAGGTCAGTTGCAATTGTTGATGGCTTATCCATTTGATATTCAGCCCGTTCACTCGGGATTCCCATTTGATTTACTATACGAAGTTGTTCCAGTTGAAACGACTTACGGTACCACATGGAGACAGGAAACATTTGGACCTCAGACTATCGGAAAAAGTATGCCAGGTGACTTTATCCATCATGATCTTTCCGAGCAAATAAGCTTGGTGCCTGAGAAAGTTGCTACAGCTAACGAAGTGGGGGTGGATGGTTCTGTGGAAGATCCTAAAAGAGATAAAGCAATGGAGGATGAGATTAGTTCACAGGTCAAAAAGACTTCCTGTGCAACAGCCTGCCATCCACAGTGCTCGCTGTCTTCCTGTCCATTAACGCCACATCACGAGAGGTTTATCGGGAGTTTGAATAACCTTCCGGACAGTCGTGCTATAGACGAGACAAGCTCTGTCTTCGAGGCAGTAAAAGAAACATCCTTGGTGTCACACTCAAAATCAAGATCAGTAGTCCAAGCAACTCATGAACGAATCCCAACCTCCGTCTTTGCAATGAAGCCAGGGCCGACCATAAACCAGCAAGACCTGTTGTCATTGGCAGCGGTTGACCGTTTCCATTCGGATATTTCAACGGCTGCTGGCGTAATTCGAGAAGTTCACTCTAACATGGGTACTGATCAAAACTGTGGGAGAAACCTGCACATTGATTCGGCAGCCACTGGCGGTAGGTTGTCAGTTGCTCCGTGCGGCTTCAGTGTTGATTTCAAGAAACCTTTAGCCTCCACCGCCTCCTGCTTACTTACGCCCAATGCATGTTGCAACCGCTGTGATACCCAAGCAATTTCAGCCTGTGTGCTTAGCGATACGACCGTGCAGCCAGTGTGCTGTCATCCTAGGACATCAAGTACGCGTGACAAAGTCCCTTTGAATGTCAAAGTGGAATCAGTTGCTCAGCGTAGAAGGCAGCCGATTTGCAGCTGCGGCCGGTGTTCGAAGTCGATGTGTTTCTGTTCAGATGTGCGTCAAGAAATGTCTGTCACCAAAACCGGAAAACATCAGCTGAATAACCTGAAACATCAGTGTACTGAGAAGGCTGCTGACTCCCTAGTTGCTTTTGATGTGACCAGTCATCCATCAGAGACACTCCTTTCTGATCCAGGCACGAAATTTCCAAGTGACGTCAATGGGAGAGATGTTTTTGTGCAGGTGCTCAAGCCCTCAAAACAGCCTACAGAAGTAGAGGATGCCAAAATTAAGATCACAACTGTAATCCAGTTTGGGGACCACGAATATGATCAAACTGGACGGTTACTTAATGCGCCCGGGTGTGTGCCTTGTAGAGGGAAGTGCAGACGAAAAAAATATTGTTCAGGGCAAAGCGACCATGGTTTTCAGCGATGTTTTCAGTGTTGTAAACCTAGGTTCCGTCCGTGTCATCTTTACTCTTGTCCCTTCTTTAGACACAGAGGGGCATCATCCGAAATGCACATAGCTGCACCAGCAAACGAGCTGTTTAAGATGAATGAACCTATGGGTCCTACAGCAGTCATACTGACACGGAAGACAGAGTGCCACTCACTGTCTCGGCGCAGACATCCGGAATGCAGACGAGCATTGAACTCCTACTGTTGCCCTTTGGCGGCTGCCCCGGTTACTTCGCATTTGAACGGATACCGATTCCGCGCTGCCCCGGTCCTTCGCATTTGAACGGATACCGATTCCGCGATTGTCGAGTGAAGAGTCTATGCTGTTGCTGTCGTGGATATGAGTGTGAGCAAAGAACTGGCTTCGGACATATATCTAGAAGGGCTTAGTAATACCTGTCTGTTCTGCTACAACCCTGAGAACTACTCATCAATGACTCATGAGATATTTTACTATTTTCCTCTATTTAATTTTAGGGGTTTCACCCTCATTTATGGAGGAATATCACCCTGGCTTTCCCTTCTGTCATCACATCAACCAGGTTGCTTTTTCGAAAACACTAAGTTTGTCTTTCAAAATGACGTCTCTGTTGCTCATCGCATTCACCCATGCCACTCAAAACGGTCGGGTTTTTCAAAGTTGCTTTCTAAGCAGTTTCATTTTTTGAGAGTGTTGTTACTCTCCTTCAAATATACTACTTGCAACCAGTGAGTATGTTTATCAGTATGGTTAGTGGGCATGAGAACCTGGGAATCTGTGCCCAATGCACTTTGTTGTGGTGACCACTCACAAGGTTGTTGAAAACATTTCGACACGATTTGACCTTCTTGGGATTCTGAAGGTAGAGACACACTGCTCGAGCTTCCGTCAACCTTATACTTTACTTGAATTCAAAGTGCAAAAAATTTTCGAACTATCCTCACCTGTACACCCCTTTGTTTTCAACAGGGGACCCAACTGAAATCATCCCAAGCTCCCGTTTCAGCGAGTCACCGATAACACAGTGACGGGTGACTTTAGGCTGATTGGTATTGGGTTGAAATGCTTACTAAGGGCTGACTCGTTGTGTTTTAGCTCAAAAACTGCTCTGTTATTGATCCTAATCAACGCATTTCCAAATGTGATATACATTGGCGTGTTTGGTGTATACGGGTCCCCTAGGTGGGAGTACATAGTGAGCGGATGAACAGATGGTAAGAAACGGGGCTTCTCCTCCGAACTAAAGCATGGAAATCTTTCAGCAATGGCATCGTCCCATAATATTGGCTTTGAATGGACGTATGTCCAAACAATGAACTGAAGACAAGGGGATAGTTCCCTTTTCCGAACTCTGAGCTTACACCAGGAAGTCGTAATCATCACCCTGGTGGTAGATTTCTGCACAGTTACATTAAATATTTCTGTAGAACTTTTTCGCTTTAAACTTCTTGCAATCCAAAGACTTTGGTCGAGGTCACTCAGTTGCTTTGAGCACTATGCCTCAGCGGTGTTTCATGAAGCGAACCCATCAATACATTGAGTCTATCTTTTTTTCCGAACAGCTGCAATGAGGTCTTGCTTTCACACTTGCAGAAAAGAACAAACCTTAGCCTTGAAATAGCCCTATATTCTCCGAGAGCTAATGTCTCGGCGCGGCAAAGGGCTTATCATGCTGCTAGGTTCCAGTGCCAATTCGAGTGCGAGGGCTAACCAGAGTCACTGTGTCAGGTCCTAATCAAGAGAGAGAGAGAGAGAGTGGTGTAAATATCGACAACGTATTTTATTCCCAGATGGGAGAATATGCTCTCTCTGACCTCAAGGTGCTGAATTCAAAGTCGATGGTGAACCAAATGATTCGGTTGGTGCCGCGGTGTCGATTTCAACAGATGCACAAGAAGAATCTACGTGTAGTGGAAGATGTTGCTTCTGACATTCACAACTCATTCACTATTACTTCAAGTAGTCTGTTTGCAGGAAGACCTCCGGTACTCGCTTGTCTCACCAACAGTCCCGTCACTTTCACTAAACTATTATTCCCGTTTCGTGCCATACAGTACATACGGTATAGTATTCTCCCCGAGCATCAAAACCAAACTATATATGCCAGACTGAATGGCCACCTAGCGGCTCTAAATGACCATTTGTTAGATCCAAATGTTCATGCCGTCTGGATCGAACTCAATATTAATCCAAACGTCTACCAGATTTGAGCTCTTGAACCATTTCCTGCTATTCGCATTCCATAAAATGGGGTATCATTTGATCATGAAGTTGCCTGAACCTTCTCTGTGAGCTGGAAATGTCAGTCAGTGTGAAGTGACTTTGGCCTGTACAAAATGCCCCACTCCGATTGACAGTATTTTTCTCGCGTATCTTCTAATGCAAATGCTTGGTATGACCATACCAGGTGATGAACGGAGCTCCACAAAACGTCCTCAACTTTCAGGTTACAACTAATGTTACGAATACCGACCACATCGTAATCAGTGTCCCACAAAATGCAACTGATTGCATCCAAAAGAAATTGCGTAACCCCGATTATGCAAATCTGACTTCTGCACGAAGATAAGCGGGACAGGGTAACCGCGACTAAGGCAAAAACTGGATGTGGCTAGCAAGGTTACGGTGAACATTATTTTGCGGGTTCACATCAGATCAGTACGATTTACAGTTTAACATAACCGGGATAAGATTCTAGAAGCGGTAAGGATGCGCTCTAACGAATTCTGTCTTGACGCTTAGGCACTTTAACGGAGAAGCGAAAAGGGACATTACATGGGCGCACACAAAACAGAGCCACGTGTGTGTATCATCGTGGAGCCCGTCGCAGGCCTGTTCTAGCATTTTTGCTGAACAGTAGTTAGGCTTATTAATTTAGCTAGGAGAAGGACCTTGAAATATCAAGGGTTTCTCAGAAATTTCGTATTTTTTCCAATTCGACTTGAATTACAATCACATCAAACCTAACCTTCCTCCAGCTGACTGAACATACATGCCAGTTTGCTTACCGAAAATAAAATTCTATGTTGCGTGTTGCAGCATATTTCTTGCATTCTGTTTCTTTAGCAGGCGACAGAAATGTCTAGGCTATCCGTCCATTATTCCCAGCTCATACGAAAGCCTTTGGCAGTACCAGTCAAGATATGTTATTGCAACTTACTACCGAGGAACGTCATGATCAATGCTTGATCAAGCTTGTATATGATTGGGTTGACAACCGAGCCCAGTTTACGTGTTTGGATAACCTGAATTTTCCTCATCATTGCCCAAATAAAAAGGTGTTTTACAATGCTGTATTCTTTTCCTGTGCTCTTTTGGCTTTGTCTGCCCAGAATTTACCTGTTTTTGAATCTTTTTACCAGTGTAAATATGCTGATTTCATTGTGACTGGCTGTGACTACCGCGGTTCGGAAGCCCTAACAGGACTGCAGACAGGATTGAACGGAATTTGTTGGCTATTCCCGAGGAAGCTTTTTCTTTCTTGTAAGTTCAACATCCCAAGGCCTCATGTGGAACGTAATCAAGGTTTGATGCGTTTTTGTGTGTAAGTTGCTTCTTTTGGACCATGCTTGTGTTGGCTTACCGGTTTACACTTAGAAATGACATTCGATACGAGTCTGCATGCTTGCAATTCAACTCTCGGGGTGCATGAAGCTTCTTCCGAAAAAAAGAACTTTCCTGAGGTTGAATGACCAAACAGATGAGTTGTCTCAATAAGGCGACAGTTTCATCTTTGCTCACACCATAAGGAGGCCTATGCAGTGCCGTCCACTGTTTATCGAACCTACTACCGTTTTTGTACAGATTCACAGCACTCACACAATTCATATTCACACAACACCCAATGCTGTCTATATTTAATAGAGATTTCATCTTGTAAGTGAAACCAATCTATGCTGAAAAGCCTGGACGGACCAGCCGACAACCAAAAAGTGCCCTCTGATTCCTCATAACATCCCAGATGCCTTTTTGTCACACATGCAAATTCCTTTACAGGTAATGTGCTTGCATGTAAACAGAAACAATGGTTGATTCCCGTTCCGGATTCACTGTGTTCTCCCTGCTGTATACTTCGACGGCGATTCAGTACAAATCAGCACTGTTGGGACTCGTCCGTGCCAGTTGAAGGATTCCTCGGTGCTGCAGTAGCTGTCTTTGCAATGAGACCCATAGGGGTAATGTTGCATCGTGGGTGGCCGTTTATTGGTTACGCCTTCACTGAGCCTGCCAGCCCACGCGATAAGAAGACAGAGAACCCTGGACACGGGTGTATTGTCAGGACAAAACATACAGAGCGTCTGTGTAATTGAAGGATTCCTCGGTGCTGCAGTAGCTGTCTTTGCAATGAGACCCATAGGGGTAATGTTGCATCTTAGGTGGCCGTCTATTGGTTACGCCTGCACTGAGCCTGCCAGACTACGCGATAGGGAGGAGACAGAGAACTTGGGACACGGCTATATTGACAGGACAAAACATACAGAGCGTCTGCGTAAATATATGGGATGACTAATTGGCCATACAGCCAATGGTGGTGTTCCGGTCGTGAACAAATCTCAAACACACTAAGCTGGTCGTATGTTGCGAAACCGTGTATGGTGAGCTCCGCCAACGCCCCTGCTTTCCGGACGTGTCGTACCGATGGTGACCTCGGGGATGCGTCACTCTCTGCACATGTACTTTTTCCATGTCTGGGCGCGTCCTGGCAGGTAGTATTTAAAAAAGTGACATTGTCGACAGATCACACTAACAAAAAATTATCCCTTAGTTTTGGTACCAGAATACCTGTTCGAAAAATTAACTTAGTCTTATGTTTAAGGCGAGAAGACGAGTGATGATGTGGCTTGCTTCGGGTTCCAGGTGTTTGAACTCTGTCTCTAAGGCGCAAATTGTCCTCGTCAGTTAGAAAATGCATCTTTGTGGTCTGAGTTACCGTAGATAACCTATCAACTCTATAGGTTGTCCCACGGCAGCTACTGCAATCGATGTAGCGTAACACATCATCAAGCGTAGATTTTTGCGGGAAATTGTGGCGCAATAATCTTCACCGGCTTTAGGCGACTCGGAAGTTTTCATCACATTTCTTTTGAATCTCGAATCATTGTGGAAAACCTTTATTAGGAGTTCTCGTGCGTAGGACACGGTATCTGGCAGTGCATCAATATTTCGCCGGAATTTCCGGTTTATGATTTCTCAGTAGTAGTCGTATCTCATTGACACTTGAATCACCACCTAGTTTTATTGCCATCGTGAATGCTTCACCAATCCAGCCTTGCTCTGTATCCGGTAGCTCAGGAACAAAATGAACCGGCTCATCTCGGTTATTTGACGTTGTCGTACGTATCAGTTTCGTCTTCAGTGTCATCAACCTCAGCTGCTGTTGATTCCATCAACTTTTCTTGCGGCGTTGATCGTGTCCCTCGTATCTCTTCCTCCGCCTAACCAGCAAGGAGGGTTAGGCTGTCGAGCGAGCAGGCTCGCTGGTGTCATCCTTATCAGAGCACACGCTGTCTACGGAATGGCGACAAATCTTGCCAAAGTCGACCTGTTGCATTTAGCGCACCTCGTCTATGGAGTATTGAGAGCGCCAGGGTGCGAAGCCTCATTTAAAGCGTCCATTGAAAGTGTTTGTTACCGGGGTGATCTACTGGTGCTCGGGTAGGTTAGGGATGCGCACAACGCAGCATTTGGGTTGCGCGCACCGGTGATGTTTTGCACAAAGGCGTGTATCGGGTGCAGAGATCGATAGTTGTGAGTTGTGCGGCTCGATACGTTGGTGGAAAGCCATCTGTGAAACGACCATGTAAAATACATGTCACTGCTGCGTAATTTTCGTGCACAACGTGTAACTGCCGCATGGCCGTTATGGAGCCCTCATCATCATCATCATCATCATCATCATCATCATCATCATCATCATCATCATCATCATCATCATCATCATCATCATCATCATCATCATCATCGTCATCATCATCATCGACAGCATGGCATCAGTATTCAACACCGATTCTTCACTGTCGTACCACTAAGATATAGTTGAAAGCCTTATTGTAAAGAAAAGAGTAAAGGTGGATGGGGAAGGGACTGAGTGCTAGCTTAACACAAACATTCCGGGGTGCCCCAAGGTCACAGCTAACCAACAACAGCATGTTAGCTCGAATATGCAGAGGCCTAGTAGATTTGATGTTGAACTGAGCCGATTGTCATGGCGCCAGTGAACTCGACCGCATTGCACCAAGTATCTCAGCATGGATAACAGCAACTCAAAATTGATGTGGTAACCGTACGCTGGAACCCAATTCACAGTCAACAGTTAGAGACTCCTGGATAATCGACCAATCAGAAATGAAGATGTGGGAGCTGACATCTCAGAAAGGGTAGCTAGCGTAGGAGACGACTAATACTTACTTGAATAATTCAGTTGTCTATGGATCGTTTTATAAACTGAGTTGTCATGATTCCACTACGTCTGCGCCCGTCTCTATCTACGCAGCTGTCACTCTAGCATATTGAGAAGTGAAGTCAGGCCGAGTGAACGGTTTTGGTGTGCACAAGAAAGACAGTTAAAAGTGCACGTTGTTGCTTTTGTCGTCACTTCCAATCGCCATTGTCTGAATGAATATCTGGAGTTGTGAGCAGCTCGAAGTGCTTGTGGTAGACTAGGTCCCTTCCCAATCCACTCTAATTCCTTTCTTCAAAACAAGTTTTCTCAAGTCAGCTATGATTGTGGGCAGCGAAAAGCACTAATGTGCCATGGATGTCGGAGATAACGTTGTTTAAAATAAGAATATGGGGGAAGACTTGAAGTGAAGTGGACGTGTACAACGCACGGCGATTCGGCGGTTTAGATCTCCGAAAGGATGCTTAAACCATCCATATGCCTACCAGTAGTCGACAGGATGCATGTAGGTTTTTAAGCTGGTGTATTCAAGGGGAAAAAGCAGTTTTTCACCAGTTTATTGGTTTACTCTCGAATAAATCGAAATTGAATGGGAATTAATTTCGAAATTCCTGTTGGACACATGTCACAACGAATAGAGAATTAAAGACGAAACCATGGGTGTTTCATCTGGAACAGCGGACAGAATACTTTTAAAACAAATCGCGAAATTTCGCTGAAAGTCTAAAACAAACCCATGGGCGCAAAAGTAAATGTGTAGATGGAAGACAGTGAAGGATAGGTAATATTAGAAAGTTCTCAGACTTCTATCCTAGTGCACCCTCCGGGGTCTTTGTTTATGTTCACATAAGTATCTTATTTCAGGTGATCCCCAACGAAACTTATCCCCAGGACAATTTGCACGGGGGCTAGAAGTGAGACAAGGTGCTTGGCAAAATATCGGGTACTTCTGGTGAGATGGTGACCTAGGTACATTCCTCCTCGTTTTCATATACGATGGCGAGTAGACCTTTTTCTCAACTCTGAGCAGTTGGTAATTCGTCTCGATTAGGTCAAGGTCGGCGGACCCCTTTCGGCGCATACTTACAGGACAGCTTGGTGGACGACATCGATGAGGGACACGTTTGCAGCACTGACAACATTCCCGGTAGTCACCGTAATTTTTCCTTGTGTAATGTCTTTTGTTTCTACACTCTTTCCCACATGTGACATACACGAGTGCATCTTGCGCAAATCCTGTTCGATCCGTTTTCCGAAATTCTCCATGCACCCTCGGTATAACAATCACGCTGTCCTCATTGGGCCGCTGGTAATCTGGACAGAATCTGAAATCTGGTTGGACATTGGTGGTATCGAAGGAAAAAACGGAACCCAAAACTTCCGTTGCGCCGTCTTGTTGTGGATTCCCATTGATGTGGATGGGGATAACCGCTGTTTGGTGCGGAGTCGAGCTTACCGGTCTTTGACTCGGATTACAGTGGCACTTTCGACAGGGCTGTTCTCTCTTGAGAACCAGATCTGTAGATGTCGATCCTGGGCCTGCTCTGGAGTAATGACAGACTGGCTGCACAGATGAGTCACACCGTGTATCCATTCCTCGGGTGCTTACACAACATCGGTGGCAACACGCAGGCGGAGTAGACAACCATATAGCGCGGACGGGTGACGGGTAGGTAAAACCAGAAATGTATCCGACGGGTATCAGTTGCACGCCCATGACACCTCTTATACCGTCTAACTGCACGGCCGATTCACGATGCTCGTTGCGTGTCGCAGCAACATGAGAATTGGCTTCATGTTTTTGATCATCGTTCACGCCAGGCACAGTCGGCTGGCTGGGTGACATCTTGATCTGATTAGTTGAGACACCAGCGGTTTGATGGCCTACATCTATTTTGACACGGCTAGTCGAGTTAAATGATAATTTGTTCTGAGGGTTCATGCGATCAGAACTGAATGCTTGCATCGGTAGCTGGTGTTTGAGATGATATAGTTTTTCCGCATTTTCATCTAACGAAATGGAAGCCAGCAACTGTCCGTCATTTGTGTCAAAGAAAAAGTCTGCTTTCTGGGTTGAGGCTGCAGAAGTCAGAGCCGCTGACTGCCGTGCAGTGTTTGATATATCTACCTTGGGATTGTTCCGTTGACTAGTTGGATTGCACGATGTTAGTTTTGAGAGGAATGGTAGGCAACCAGTGGCTCGAACAGTGCTGCTGACTGGCGACCTAGTCTGAACGGATGTCCGTGGATCTCTGGGTCCGTCTTTCGTGATGTCCTGCGAAGGCGACCTATGCTGTAAAACATTTTCAGGAGCTTTGAAAGCTGATTCGTTCAATTTAAGGTGTAGAGGGCAAACATTGAGATCATCGGTTCGGTTCATTGCCCTAACGTCTTCTACAGTTATAGGTGCTGTGTTGGCAAATGGACTGACTGTAATAGGTGATAGATGGCGTGGTTGACCACAGCAAGACATCAAGCAGACGGGCTGAAGCTCAAATACACGAGATGATTCGGGCTTTACTTGTTCCCCCAAAACAAGAGCCGTAGAATAGGGAACAGAATGAAGAGGTTGGGAATGGATGGTCCAAGTCAGTGCTTCCCCAGTAGGTGGCTGAAACATCAGCGCGTTCGTGAGAGGCATATAGGTAAATGCTAATTTATCAATGGGCAAACAGGGTCTTCCAGGGTCACTGGAAGACAGCGGCAACTGTTGAAACTTCACGTTCTGATCCATCGACAAAGGATATAGTGGAGTTCCATTCGGAGCTAGTGGAGGCGAGAATTCTCCCGGACGGTCAGATATTTGTTCAACTGAGTTGGGTAATACTCTGTTATGTGATATCTTACCGCTATTATGAAGTAAGTTGGCGGCCTCGTTTGTGACAGCTAAGGCGGAGGTCTCCTTCATGCTGCCAAATGGCTTTTTGATCGAATCGGCACTCAAAACTGGAGCGTCGGTGATCGTTTTGGAGTTTATAGGGTGCCTGATAACCTTCTTTTGAGATTCGCGCCTTTGTTCCACACGGTCTACAGTTTTGTTAGGTGTTTTTGTGGATGTACGTTGCTGCTGCGCTGCGGGTACCGGAGGTTGTTTGCGTGAGCTTGAACGCCTCTGAAGCGATTGTCCTTCCGGTGGTGCAGTGTCTTGCTTTCTGTTTGTGGAGCGAGATGCACGGCGTAAATTGGAGCTGCCGTGTTGGTAAGACTCGTAGGTTTTCGAAAGAGGATTGGTTACTCTCTCCTCTGCGATTTGAGTCACATCATTTTTTATCCGGTCAGGTTGGTGAACAATATTTTTGGTCTTCTTTTCGAGATCCGATTTTGTGTTTTCCATACAGCCTAGATTAGGTGCTCCAGGTCCTTGTTTTGTACACCCACAGTTCGCTATACATCCAAAGTCCGCCTGTGTATATCTTGATATGCGTTTTGGATATCCATCTTGCATACCGTCATCATGGAACAAATTTAAGCGTGGGGTTACTCTCGGATAGGTTTGATAGGCTTCCACTTCGTTAGGCATCTCAGGTTTCTTTATGCTGTGCACAGAACCCAACGTCAAATTCAGATCAGTATGGTGGGATTCTCGTTTTCGGGGTGTTTCCCCAAGTCTGTGACCCTTATGACTGGGACCACTTGGGACGGTTGGCTGTTCCTGCATCATCTGGTCACTTTGCTTGGTACGATCTTTTTGTAACAGAGACAAACCATCTGGAATATCTGTCTCTTTGTGATCCATGGGAACATCTTTTGACGTTCTTTTTGTGGGCTTATTTGTACTGAAACACCACAATTTCCGTGGCCCGGTCAAATCTGAGTCCGTACAGACTTCCGTCTGATCGGCTACTTTTTGTGAAGAAGGTGACACAGATGCAACTGGAACAACAGTTTCATTGTTTGAAGTTGGCTGGTTTTGTTTTAATCGACCATCAGTCGACCCGGCACTTCCTTTGTTTGATTTCGATTGCGGTTTAAGGCGCGCATTGTAATTGGTCTCCACATTATACCTGACAGGTTTGGATTGTTCGCCTACCGCCAATTCTACTTCATTTGAACTACCCTCATTGGATGATACAATTCCCATCTCTCTACATTTGCATTCAATTATGCACACATGATCAGTCTGTGTGTATCTTGAAACGAACTGACATTTTTCAGCTAGTCTCTGTAGACTTGGACCACTAGTCTTGGTTGGTGGATGATCGTCATGTTGGTTTCCCAACTGCTCGCTTGCTTCCTCCAACTCACGTTGCCACAATCCGCTATTAGCCGGGCTGTCCGCGGACTGATGCGTTCCACTTCGATCGATTACCTCTGAAGCATCATTAATTACGGTAGGATTGACTGTCTCCCAGCAAAATGGTCGTGCAGATACCAGTATCCCGCTAGTGCTTTCACTCGCACTCGATATATCTTGCATCATTCGTCCTTTGTGCTGCGCCTTTCTCGGAGCTGCCAGTCTGGCGTGTATTCGTGGGTTTATCTTGGCCTGCAATAATTCGTTGTCGCAAATACTTGTGCGCACTGTTTGAGGGGTCTTGACAGACTCCAGTTCATCTAACTGACCAAAGTAGTCTTCCTCCAAAGAAAGAAATACTGGAAATCTTTCCTGCATACTATCGTCATCGCACCAGTCTAAACCTGGGAATAGTTTTGGATCATCTCTATAAAGATCTAGTCTTCTAGGCAAGGCATCTGCTTCTGGGAAATACTGGTCGTATGCTTTACTTGGTTTCTGAAGTTCCTTAAAATTGTTCACACGTTTGTACTCAGGTATGCCATCGAAATTAGAGTCTGCTACATCAGTCGTGTTTTCAATGAAATTCGATGCTGGACTCGTATCTTTTTCAGTCGGTTTTGGTGTAACTTGCTTCCTTTGAACGTACGGGACTGGCCGTGGACTAAGTAAAGCTACAGGCTGATCCATGTCGAGTGGATAGCTATTTAATTCAGTTGTTTGCTTGACGTGGTGCTTTTGTGACGGAGACGGACCTTTTGAAGCTCTGTTTACCTGTGCTGTTGTGGTTGCTACGGGAGATCTTAAGGGTACATCAACTGATGTTCTTTTTGTTGGTATATTTTTCCCAAAACAGTCTGAACACCCTCTTCTGCTGAAATCCGAGTGTGTACGTTTTCCAGTAATGCGGCCGTTGTCATACTTTTGCATCAGAGGTAGATCTTTTTGGGTTACCCTCGCGCCAGGCAGTGTGGCTGCCATCGGAGCACCGTGGGGTGCAGTCGTGTCTCCTCTTTTTGTTAGGGGTTCCTTCTTAAAGCAACAGAGCTTTCGTGGTTCGGTCAAGTCCGAGTCCGTACCATCTTCGAAACCGTGGGATGCTTGGGGAGAAGGAGGTCGCGCAGTTATGGGGGGCACATGTGTTTCCCCACTTGATAAATCTCGTCTCGGCCCGAAATACAAACCTGGGATATGCTGCGCGTCGAATTCGTTTATGCGGATAACGGGTTGACGTGTTCCCTCAGTGATTCGCGTGCCTCCCAGTGCTTCTCTGGCCAACAAGTCTGCACTGTTTTCAGATGAGCCTTCAGAGGTTGTCTGTTGTCCTTTAGTATCATCTTCCTCACTGCGAGTTTCATCCATTTGTTCTTTGTAAACACACGGCTCCGTGATAGTAAGTGTGTGCTCGGATGGGGGTTTATGCTTGAAAGGAGGTTTTTTGATGTCTATACTTGTGTCGAAGCCGTTTAATCTGTGACTTTCTGGTTGTATGCCACCAGGTTGTCTCTCTTTCCTCTCGACGATATTGGCAGCTGTATCAGGTTCGAACCCTACTAAAGATTCCATAGTGTTTTCAGGGGTGGTTAATGGATCCTGCATTCTTTTCATTCTTAGTGTTCTTTTGTATTCCTTTTTACGATCAGTTGGTGTTTTTGGACATGTCTCTTCATGTGGTAATTCTATTTCATTGACAATTTCATGGGCTCCTTGCGCAGATGAAAGAGAATCTGTTCTACCCAGGCGACTAAAAAGGCCTTCATCGAAAGAGAAAAATATTGGCCACCTTTCCTGCATACTGTTTTCGCTATACCAGCTGGGACTATGGTTCGGCGACCTGAGTTGCACTCCCGAAATGTGGGGAATCTTTATCGAAGGAAACTGCACTTTGTTGGATTCGTCTTCCCTTGGCAGATGCAACAAAGCATTTGTAGTTTCTGTGTTAGCTTGGAGCATGTCTCCTGTTTGTTTGTTTGTTTGTTTACGGTTTGGCGGTGCGCCAGCCCTTGTTGTTTTTTCATAGATGTTTTTCATGGAGGGAACAGTTCTGATTGGCTGAAATCGATGATCTTCTGGCTTGCTTTCGATAACTGAATTTATTCGACATGACGGACTGGAGGAAGTCTTGTTTTGAGGCAAATTGGACGGTACAGTTCTTTCGCTTTGTTGACTATCCGTTAATTTCCACACCTCTCCCATGGCCAAAGACTGAGGGTGGGTTACGTGAACAGCGTGATAAAAAGTCCCTTCTCCCTTCTCTTCTTTGATAGAGACTTCGGAAACACGCGGAATCATTGTGCCTAACGGATAGGCTTGTGGCGTATCATTTACACGCAGAGGGGATACAGAAATGCTGTCGCTTGGGAGCGGATTGCTCGAGACGGCTGGAATATGCACACTTCCCACGACTTGACTGTCTACGACTGGATACTGCATTTCTTCGTTGCGCTCAACTGTTAGACGGGATGTGGCGCGCAGTAAGCCTTGGACCACAGAGGGCGATCTGTGACTGCGAGCTGTGGCGCGCCCCTGGCCTCCTACCAGTTTTGAGTTTTGTTTCTTTAAACATCTCGATTGGGTCGCCAAGCTACCACATTTCTTGAGACCCTTTATCAATGTATCGGTTTTGGATTTTATTCTCGACAAGGCGTCTCTTCTCTTGACGGATTGATTTCGCCCTCTGGTCATTTGTGACCTGTCCTTGCCAAAAGACTCAGAGTTCTTATCGAATCTTGGGGATCGCGAACCGGTATGGGGAGAGAGAACTCCACTGGGTGAGCTCGGTAACCACTGACGTAGGGATGATCGCTCCAGTCGGATAACCTGGTCACGTTGTTCTGGTTTGAGGATGGGTTCACTGCAATATCCTTCCTGAAGAATTTTAGCAAGGTAGCTGTCCGATTGTGTATCCGGTGCACGTTTGTAAGGCCGACAAATATTACCGATCGAGGATCTTATGGAAGACTTCGAAACCGAACTATGTGAAGTTGCACGTCTCGTTAAATCCGCCGATTTAGCCCGCCATATGCGTTCAGGATTGATCAACGAAAGGCTAGGAAATTTTCTAGCTGCCTTCACTGCTTGAGTGTTATAATCTTCTTCAAACTTTCCGCCCTTTCTGAGCCAATTTAGTACCACGATGGCATCACTTTTATTGGTTCGTTTACGCCTTTCACGTGTGCTGCGCACATGCTTGCTATCAGCTGAAAGTGGCCTTGGGCGATCACCGCGTCGTGAATGACTAATCGATTCACTGTTTGATGAGCTCCAGGAGAGTGCCGAATGTACTTTTCTTAAACCTAAATTTATGCTCTGCGACGTGGTAAGGCTTTGCTCTGAATCCGGTGAATCAGTGTGGCTGTCAGCATCAGAGTCTAGCTCCTTAGAAGAATACAGGCCGAACCCTCCAGTCAAATGAGCCAAACTTTCCGATGTTTCAGACAAATGGCTGTTTGGTTCGTGCTCCTGGTCACCTCTTCTATTGGGAATGGCTTCACCAATAACTTTCTCATTTTCATTGTACAAAAGCAAGTCTGAATGCTCAAAAAGACTTGGCAACCGACATACGTGAGGTTTTTCGGTGCCTGAATATGTATTTTGTTTTGGACAGTAGACCTCACTTCTTAGTGTTTCGGTTGTATGTTTCAAGGACGTATTTCTTTGAGGAAACCGGACTCCTCGAATGAAGTCAGCAATAGACAGGTCACAAATGTCGGCATCCAGAACCATTGTGTAACCTGCCAGACCCATCTTGCTGTCATGATATTTACCCGGTTGTGATACATGTGCATTACAAGACCTTGGACGCCTGAGGAAATGGGTATGTTCAGCGCGGTTCCGGTCGGTGTGCTTGAACCAAGTGGAAAGTTCTTGAAGCTCAATTTCCTCTGGTGTTTCTCTGTCCCCTAACTCAATTTGAAGTGACTCACCTGAAATGTCGTACATGGGATGCTGTGGGAAAATGTTCAGTCAAAAACTGGATTTGCAGTATGAATAGCTGCAAGTCCTCCACAGGTCCTTCTACTTTTAGTTGATATGCCACTTGGGCTTCACGTCCGTGTGGTTGGTTCGTTCAAATCCGCAAACCTTTGACAGACGCTCGAATGCGAACTGCTAGGATGTTTTCTGAAAATGATCCGTAGACCAGAATTTTTCCACTTTCCAATATCATTGAATCGACTTGACGTGAAAATGCTTCCAAGGAGGTCACCGACGTGTTGTGGTTTAAATCATTTGTTCAGATGTTTTACAATTTTGTGAAAGAAAAGGTCAAGTACTTTCACCGTCCTCTATTTGGCTGTTTTAGCGGTTGTATCGGCAAAGCTCATTTATATGTGCCGTTAAAAGTGCAAAGAACTCAGTTGCTCAGCCCACTTCTGGTCTCTTTCCGTTCGTTGTATCCACCGTGTATACTGTTTAGGCATTCCCTGATAACATGAGGTTTGAAGAGTCAGGTGACCTCTAATGGCCGGTATCTCAGGTGATGCTCTGTCGCACATGACCAGCGACTTGATCGATCAAAACAAATTAGTCAAGTATTGGTACGCCGTTAGGCCAAATTGCATCGGAATAAGGGCAACCAAGTTGTCGCATGTGGTGCCAAAATGTATTTTGGGAAATCCGAAAAAAGAACATTTGGCCACGTCTGTAGCCATAGAAGTGGTCGGTTTTCTTTGTGTGTATTCAGCTAAACTATCAGCTGGATGAAGTAGTGATGGGAAAGGAGATTGGTCATGAAGTACCTGTACGACCAAGCTTTGCACAATCATCTGTAGAGGTCACTCATCAGATCACGCGTCACAAACACTCAAACCACGTGACAATTCCTGTCCCACTTGCAACCTTAGCGGACAACATGTACACTGAAACTTCTCAACCATTTTCGTTCACGCGGCCACCACTTGCGTCACGCGCCAGGTTTAGGAAATTCATTCGACACATCAGGTCAAGTTGTATTCATGTTCATGCAAGTTTCAAACACGAAGAGACACCCTTCTCTTCACAATTCACACAATAAATAGGCATACAAATAGGCATACAACACACAGGCACACGCTCGCAGGGAGCAGCAAGTCAAACACTATTCACAAGTCCGCAGCCAAACTGCGGATAAAACACGTTCCTGCCGTCCGGACTTTCACCAGAGAACTCCCACAGACGATAAGTTCCTCTTTTGACTTGCTCCCATTTTGCACCGTATTTATTTTCATACGTGTGGCATCTCACCATTGTCAACTATACTAAAAACCTTCATTAGTGCATATACCTTCTGAACTGTATTATGAGCACTAATATATCCATCGACAAGGTGGTAAGACAACTTCAAACCAGCTTGTCTAATGGTAAGCGAATTTAAATGAGCACATTCGATGGATGATTTACCGAAAGCCTGGAACCACTCAAAAGCAAGCACACACCAAGTTTCGGGTAGTTTTCAGTTCAACGCCAGATGATCAGGGGTTGCGAACAGCAACAGAAGTTTGCCAGTTCTTGAATACGGCAAAAGTACTGGCGTGTGCCGCAACTTCGATCGTGTTTCCGGTGACTGGGGGGACTGACGAGCCATCAACAAATGCAAGTGGACGCTTAAACCGGATTCAGAGATACAACCTCGGTGGCGTAGAATACCGAGCCTGCAACCCTACCGGAAGTGGGTTAATGGGGGATTATTTAACTGGAATTGAGTACTGTGGTCGACTTACATTGTACACTACATGAGTCTCTTTCGTCCCTCGAGTTCAACGAACAGACAACCAGAGCGTACTGAAATATAAAATGAACACATTAGACAACAATATCTCGGTGGTCTCACGAAAGATGAGATTTCCATCCGGATTGAGAAGACCAGAGCAGCTTTTGCGAACCTACGTCACCTGTGGCGCAGGCGTGACATCAGCTTCTCTGTCAAGGTCGAGTTTACAATGCTGTGGTGTGCTCCATATTACTATATGGATCAGAAACCTGGCCGCTGCGCGCCGAGGACGTCAAAAG